AAGCCGTGACTATTACGCTATAGCAGATCGAAGATGAGGATGGTTACCAATAGAAGAGGACAATACGAAGTGGTCGCGCTATGTCATGAACTGTTAGAAGTTAGAATTGATGGGCCATTGGATCAGATCCCAGTGGCTTAATGGTCTGTAAGCTCGCCTTGTAACCAGAAGGATCCGGCTTCAAACCCCTGTGGGTGCGTTCTGATAAGGAGACCCGAAATGAGACAAAACAGCTATCCAGTACTACCTGCAGGTTTTCCAATGATTTATCATACTGAAATTCAGTTATGTCAAAATGAACCAATAGATACAGAATCACTCCAAAATCAGGGAGTACTGGACAGCTAATTCGTCCTAGTTTGGGACTCTTTGGCGATACGCACCCACTAGGGTTTCAACTCAGGACCCTATGTTTACAACGCAAGCTCGTAGGTCATACAGACAATCGGACCTAATCTAACAGACCATGAATTCCAGCTTCTGTCAATTCATAATATGCAGCCAATCAAAGCTCCGCAAAACAACACTCGATAATAAGTCGGATGCTCATTAAGAGACTGGTTCTACACATGAAGTCACCTGGACTTCTAGTGAAATATCATAATCAGTGGGGTTCACCAAAACAGGTGGAAGAACAGTTACTAATCCATGACGTCGGCTGCAAGCTGTACTAAATATCGCGAATTGTCGTAAGATGATATCCATTTGCAGCTAGATTAGGTTTCAGAAGTCTACGAAATGAAGATTCTGGGTACGAACTCCAGTGGATGCGTCCTACTGAAGATTCTGAGACCAGGAAAAAGCAGATGTTCTGTACTCCCTGGTTTTCCAATGGTTCTCTAATTGACGTCAGCCTCTGATAAAACAAACGCTTGATAAATAAACCAATGCACTTTATTTACATTTCAGATTTTCTTGGGAATGCGGGTACATTCAGTTGACAAATCCAAAACTGGAAGAAATGCGCATTCTGGATTCCACTGCTAATCACCATCCACCAAATGAAAACAATACACTATTTATAAATCCTGTTCTGCATATGACTGTACATTTATGAGTGACTAAATCATCACTGTTTATGCAGTTCAATGCGTCAAAACACTCTCACTCAATCAATCGGTCTATAACAAGTGACAATTTTTATTCAACCTATCAATGTCTGATCCCAACATAAACAAAAATAAGTTGACAAACTGTCGACGTGAGAAATGGTGAATAACTTGAATATTAGTTAACTGTAGAGTGCAGACAACAATCGCATTTGAGGAGATTTATAAGATTGTAGGAATAACCGAAATTAGCGTCTCCGCAAAACTTGCGTTTTCCATAACTTTTGTATTCTCTACTTATCAGATTGCCAGAAATAAGAGGTAACAAAGAACTCGAGCAATGCAACGACTGATCACTTAAACAAAATATGCCGAAGAAATAACTGGGAAGGGTTAGACATTTCCCTGAGGAAACCATCGAGTGGCATCAAACACAAGGCATATCTCTTTCGCGACCAAGTTTGGAAACTCCGAATTTGGCATATGATCCAGGGTGATATCAAGGGGGAGATTTTTTTAGAGCAAAGTGAGGTAATGGACTGTTGATGGGTCAGCTAAGGGTGATATTCTACTGAAGCCCTATGTTCCTCTCGGAACCTGAAATAATAATAAAATAATAATAATAACGACAATAACAATTTGTCAGATGACTGGGAATGATAACCATCAAGAAGCTCTGGAATTGATTTTTGATTTTTTGATTTTGACTTACAGCTTGATTCCACACCGTATTTTCAGTTCAAGTGTGGAATTTTCAGCATTGATATCGATAGCCCAAATTCAGGCCGACAATAGATATCGGGTGTGCGCCGGCGGGGGATCGAACCCCGGACGATGTGCATGGTCGGCGAGAGTCCTAACCACTGTGCCACCGACGCACAGTTTGTAATTTATGTCTTCATTCTCACAATTTATCCGCAATTTACAATTAGTGATCACCAGTACCAAGGTTACGGTTTCTGCTGTCGAGCGAATATCGGTGAATCATAACACAAAATATGTAAAGTTAGCTTTGACGAGTCACTGATTTCCAGCCTGATAAACATAATGGTCAACGAGCCTGAACTGGTAAACTGAAGACACCAAGTTCAATTCCTGAGGAGTCTTTGGTACGCACCACTGATGAGTCCTGAACTAGGACGAAACAACTGTTCAGTTACCTCTGATTGATTTAATGTTCGTGATGAAATCTACCTTGGAATAATAACAATGTTGATAGCTATTTAAAATTTTGGAAAAAACCTGGTAGTGTAAATATCTTTTGAAAATCCTGAAACTTCTTAAATAGTCTTTATTTAATAAAATATACGGAATTTCGATTCATTGCATAATGTAATAACTCCTTCAAAAGGTACACTTAACGCAATTTAATTCACTAAGGCAGTGAGTGATATTACCACTTGCCTGATATATTTATAAATATTTCTGGAACTAATATTTTGAATTCCTTATATTGAAATGTGAAGAGGAAGGGTAGTAAATGGCTTTATTGTGTTCCACTGATGCCGCATACACAGCAAAGCTTATATTGTTTGAAACAATCGCATAAGTTATATAGGTTCTAAGCTCCAAGCTCCACTTCAACTAGACTAATAGTGAAAACTAAGTGCAATACTAGAGGAACTCAAATAAAGTTGATGTTGAAGGCGAAAAAAACTCAATAGACTAACATAAAAAGTAATTCTGAATTAGATTTTTCCAATTTTCGTTAACCTTGTTTTAAAAACTACAGATTGTATTGCAATGCCAGAGCTTCTTGACGATTATCTTTCCCAGCCATCTGATAAATTACTATCATTTTATCGTTCTAATAAGTTCAAAAGCGGAACTCAGGGCTTCAATAGTATATCACCTTTAGCTGACCTATCAACAATCCATCAGCTCTCATTCCGATCACACAGGATCTCCCTCTTCATATCACCCTCGATCCTATGCCAAACTCAGAGTTTCCAAACTTGGGTCTCACTATGGGCACGTCTTGTGTTTGATGCCACTGGATGGTTTCCTCAGGGGAATGTCTAACCCTATCCAGTTATTTTTTCGGCATATTTTCCTTTGATGATCAGTCGTTGCATTGCTAGAGTTGTTTGTTACTGGTTATTTCTGACAATCTGATAAGTAGAGAATATAAATTATGGAAAACGCAAGTATTTCAGAGACGCTAATTTCGGTTATTCCTACAATCTTATAAATCTCCTCACATGCAATTGCTGTCTACACTATACAGTTAACTAATATTCAAGTTATTCACCATGTCTAACATCGACAGTTTGTATATTAATTTTTGTTCATGTTGGGATCAGACATTGATAGGTTGAATAAAATTGTCACTTGCTATAGACCGATTGATTGAGTGAGAGTGTTTTGACGCACTGAACAGCATGAACAGTGATGATTTAGTCTTTCATAAATGTACAGTCATCTGCAGAGCAGGATTTATAAATAGTTCATTGGTTTCAGTTGGTGGATGGTGACTAGCAGTGGAATTCAGGATGTGAATTTCGTCTTGTTTTGGACTCGTCAACTGCATATACCTGCATTTCCAAGAAAATCTGAAATGTAAATAAAGTGCATTGGTTTATTTATCAAGCGTTTGTTTGATCAGAGGCTGACGTCATTTAGAGAACCATTGGAAAACCAGGGATTGCCTACCACTGGACATCAATCCAATTGGCTGCGGATATCAACTCAGAGCGATTTGCGATATTTCGCACAATCTACATCCCACATCATAGATGAGTGTACACTCACCAACGGAAGTTGATTATAGAATCTCACTAGTGGCTTAACTTAAAATTGAGCATTCTACAGAGTTCACCGTCGATCTCATCCGTTTAACGGTGTGAAACTTATAATAATATTCTTACTTGGTATCGATTAGAGAACATTTGGAAATCAGAAAGTACTTGATTGACAGCTGTTTCGTCCTATTTCGGAACTCTTCAGTACTATATGACCATGTCTTAAACCAGGGATTGAATCCAGCAACGACAAATTACAATGCATTCCCCATGACCATTCAACTGCTAGGATAGGATCCAACTGGTCACCAATGAATTATAACATCAATTACTTTGAGATACATAACACTAACGTTAACTAATGTCACCGGTCAACATATGTCCCCAGACGCGTCTTTTCAAGAATTCCTCCGACAACTTCAGATAACCACATCCACTAGTCAGTAACTAGTCAGCATGGGAGCAACTTTCAAGTGTAGGATTACAGGAATTTCACTCTTCTGACTCTTCAGAGGTATGCATCCACTACCCTACCAGTGGTTTAACCCAGAACCTTAAGGCAACAAAGTCAGCTCAGTGACAATTCAACCACCGGGACAAAGACAAGTCGCTTACGAATTCTAATATCAGTCAACTCAACAGCTACTATCACTGGCGAGTATTTGTCCCCAAAAGCAAACTGGTAACCCTCTTGTGCCAGAATTTCTCACCGTAGCACCCGAAACACCACCGTGAAGTCAACTGTCTGTCAGCAGTGAAACCAATTTCAATTTCGCAGAAATCTGACCTATTTTAAAGCTAAATTTTGAGTTGGTGAAATTGAAAAATAAAACATGCTGATTCTCTACATTTATTGTATTCCACCCCACACAGGTTATAGAAAAATAGTAAAATTAAGCACTTCAGAGCTTAAATACACATAAGCACTCTCTACCCTTTTCTACATTACTCATATTTCTTTTCTCATTTTTCAAGAAGGCAATGAATAGAGTTCATGGTTTGTTAAGTAGTTTTTTTATCGATTGCATACATATATATTTTTATTTGATATTATATATATATATATATATATATATGTAATTAATATTCACCCTTAGGACGAACACAATGTATTACCAGTAATTGTCTATAATAGACGTTAACTATACCTCAAATACACTAATGATTTATGGACATGCTATTGAAAGAATTCAAGGTTATTGTTATTGTCCAATAGAAAGCCGTCTTGAAATTGACCAATCATATTCCAGTGTTATACAACATGCTAAATAACAAGTTTATCACAGCACAATTCATGCTTTGTCGAAATGTATACAACAATGATTTCAAAAATTACGTCATACTAACTAACTAAAATATACCTCAAATGAACCATAAAAATCTATCACAATCACATAATATTAAACTGAATACGTCAGATGATGATTGCCCATCAGGTGATTATGAAATGTCAACTGATTATATAAACGACGACAAAGCGAATCAAGCCGAAGAAGTCACTAACTGTTGTGACAACACTGAGAAATGTCCAATGACATGGAATGGTGTACAACAACAACAAGTCACTGACCGATTTCCTACTCCACCTCAAAGTCCTATAAAAAGAATTAGTAGTACTAGTAGTAGTGCGCATAAAACGAATAAAACGCTTCAACAATGTCCGCCTGCTTCACCGCTTTCAGGAAAAGATGATCCATCGAGTGATCCCTCCGTAAAAGTGACAACCAATGAAGTTGGTAAAAATTGGAAAAATGTTAAAAACACTATGAGATTTGTATTGTCAAATAAATTAAAAAATAAATATGATTATGAGGATTCACGGAGAGATTCGTTTATGTCAAGGTTTTCCACACAACGACGTGGATCTTATACACAGAATCGTGAAAATGATCATCGATTTGAAAATCCTCAATTCTCGTGTTATCTTAAACCTTTTTATAAACCTGGCATTCACAGTAGTAATAACAATAATGACAATGCTACTAATAATAACAACAATAAGATGATCAATGATAAAGGCACATCGAATGATGAATTCTTCCAGACATGGTTTGTGCATACACCAGAAAGTGATGAGAAACAAATTGAAGTGGAACAGCTAATTAAATCCACTCCACAACATGCACCATTAGAAGAAGATGCTTCAATCGGCGGTAGGCTAAAATTAGAGTCTTCAACTACCAGTCAAAGTTGTGAATCACAGTCTCCGGTGAAAATCAGCACCAGCAGCAGCTATCAAAACTCGAAATATCATGAGAATAAAATACCAACAGATTATGTAAATAATATGTTAATGTTTTTTGAACGACCTCTGGGATTCTTTGTATTCCACTCAAATAGTTACGGTTATCTTATCTGGTTAACATTTGTCTCATTAGCCTTATTGTATAATCTATGGGCACCGATAGCACGTCAAGCTTTTACAGAATTACAAACCACTTATCAAATTCTTTGGTTTAGCCTGGATGCTTTAGCCGATTTATCCTATCTTATTGATATATTTGTTCAGTGTAATACAAGCTATTTGAAATGTGGTCTAAAAGTTCGTGACCATCAGAAGTTGGCGATACGTTATGTTAAGTCGTATGCATTTCTATTTGATATATTCTCATTACTCCCGTTGGATTTGTTACAGTTGAAAATCGGTGTCCAGCCAATGTTACGTTTTCCAAGATTTTTAAAATTGTATCGATGTCGTGAATGGAAGGTGCGAGTAGAGAATCGGACTATCTTTCCAAATTTATGGAGAGTATTAAATTTAATACATATTCTATTCTTAGGATGTCATTGGTTTGCAGCCTTCTATTATTTGCTATCAAAGTATGAAGGATTTAAAAATCCATGGGGATATCAACCGAATGAACATGGTGACAATGATACTATATCAAGGATATATTTGAAATCTTTTTATTGGGCCACATTAACACTGACGACAATTGGGGATCTCAGTGCACCGACGAGTAGTATAGAGTAAGTCTTCAGTGCGCACAAATAATTAATACATTTTATTTCTAATTATTTAAATATGCTAAATTATATCAGTGAAACGCCTAAAGCGCATGTAGAATGTGTCTCAGCTTGTATGTGACAGAAGACGACAGTTTATCACTGAAATTCCCCCGTTTGATTTCTTTAACTGGGTTTTGTATATCCCGCTAAAAGATTCTATTGCTAACCGAAATGTTTGGTCTCTAATCGAAAGCTGCACCCTAGAACGGACGCCTTGAAAAATAACATGATGCCACTGCGTCCTAACTAAGACCCGATATGTCAAGGAAGACGGAAAATTTTGTTCCAGTGTAATCAACCAGCAGGGAATACGAAATATCTTAAACGAACATTAGCTGACCTCCATTCATGTATTCCACATATGCTTTTCTATTGTTTCCCCTTCTTCTTTAGGCTTCTCAAAAACGCCAAAGCTATATTACCTTGGACTTTGAAAGGTGTAAGCAGGGTTGATGGTGTTGATTTGAGCCAACTAATTGACGTTCTTCGTAACAGACATCCAAATTCTTGTAAGGAACTGGCTGAAGTCATCTTAGTGGATACTGAACATCCTCTTTATTCGCAGCTTTCTCCTTGTACCTCTTATAAGTAAAAGCAGAAAAGAAATTTCATGAGAATTTATGCATTTTGGGGCTTAATATAACACCTGAACCCTACCGTATTTAGCCCAGGTGTTGTGTGAATTGATGACACCTACCTTAAAATCTGCCAGTGAAGAGTAACTTATTACCAGCTTTATCACTATGTGACGAAGCCATTTTTGTTAAGTATGTCGATGATCTGACTGTTTCTATGCCGATGGTTGCTTCTGAGTCAGACTGTTCCAAATGGTCATAAGCTTAATCCCTTCAAATGTCAGGTGATTAATTTCACTTTCAGACACAAGTGCGACTTACATGAACTGGTTGGTTCTCACGGTTGCACTATCAAAGATGCCACAGAAGTTGAAACTAAACTGAATGTTAAGTACCTTGGACTGGACTGTGTGTTTCTTCTGATCTTTCCTAGTCTTCCCAGAAAGATATTTCGTTTTACTTTCTATGTAAGGAAGTTAAGACGATCTGGTATCATTTCGCCTCTACTGTTAATGTTTGTTAACTCTTGTATTCTGCCTATATTTCTTTACTGCTCCCGCACCTTAATCTTTCCTGAGTTACTTAAGAAAGACTTTGTTATACTGTGAAAGGCACCATAAGTCGTCAGTGGGGCGAATAGGGCATCACTAAACCAACTCGTTAATACTATTGTAGGTAAATATATGGACTCCTGTAAGAAATTGGCGAATATTATCTTGTTGGACTCTTAACATCCTTTCCACGCGCAACTCTGTCCTTGCATCTCATCAGGTAGAACTAAAAGCTGTTATGTAAGACTATTTGCTTGGACGATTAAGTAAAAGCTCTGCAACACCTTATAAGGCCTGGACACATTTAATGTGATGAGGAAGGTGTGTAAGACAGGAAACTAACAACTTGTTGTGGAACTCTAAGTAAACGGACCTATTTTCTGTTTTTTCCTCATTGTTAGATTGTTTTCAATATTTTCGCTGAATTAAATTTTATATTCGTAATATTATTAAACAGCAATATCAGTGTAAATGTCTTGTTACAATCACTATCCCTATAATGCGAAAACTAGATGCCACACTGTACTACCTGCTGACAATTCCATACTTGTACCAAAAGTACTATTTGGAATTAAACCTATTATGATTATTATTAGTATAATTTTTCTATTAAGGTTCGTTTTTCTGGCTTTATTATTGACACCATTTTGGTTATTTACTGTTGCAGGGCATACAATGATTGAAAATTTCATTCTGTATAAACATGAGTGTTTGGAATAAAGTGATTGTGCTGTTACTACTGCAATCAGTATTATTCTCATTACTTAAGTCTTACACTTTTGATTCTTCCTAGTCATAACGGTAGAATGCTCGCCAACCACACATGTGGTCCAGAGTTCGATCCCCGGTCGATGCACTCCTCCTTTAACTCGCTAAGCCAGTAATAAGACTGATAATGAAGGAAAATTGGATATAATACAAGCAACCCATCCCGTAAAAATAAATACCACTTCTACTGAAACTTCAATGCTGTATGCTGAAGCCCTGTGTTCGGCTAGCAACATAAAAGGAATATAAAGCATTTTATGTTTTACGTTATTTGTTAAACCCACAAGACTTACCTGTGAATGCAGTGGAAACATTTTTTTTCCTTCACGTTCCCCATTTGAACATAGGGCTTCAAGCTAGTTGTCTTGAAGTTTCTGTAGTAGTGCTTAATTTTACAGGATGGGGTTGCTAGCCTCTTGCCGAACCTTTCCTCTTCACCAGCATTATTTTTGGCTTAGTGAGGTAAAGGATTACGTCGGCCGGGGATCGAACCCCGGACCATATGCATGGTCGGCGAGCGTCCTAACCACTATGCCACCGACGCACAGTGGAAACATTAAATATGAGAAAATTCGACTTATTATTACTGTTTTGGTTCGATGCGAGGATGTAGGGCTTCAGAATCACAGATCCACTTCATCTTGTTCTCTGCTGTTTTTTCTTAACTCTTCACGAGTGTCCTTGCGTCAGTGGCACCAAAATAAAATGCTCGCCAGCCAATCACGTGGTCCTGGGTTCGATCTCCGTCCGTCGCACTTTGCAGCATCGGCTAGCTGGTAATAAGCTCGGCAAAGAGGGAAGGTTGGGCGTGTGACTAGCAACCTTACCCCAGAAAAATGAAACCATTGCTACGGAAGCTTCAAAACTGTAAGTTGAAGCCCTATGTTCCACTGGGAACGCAAAGGAATAAAATTAAAATGAATAAGTGAAAACGACTGCTCTTCAGCCTTAAAGTTTCTTCTCACACGACCTCTTGTCTGTCACCATCGGAGAATCGTTTTTCGGAATATATAACACCACTATCAGTCATTGTCATCGGTGCGTATATGTCCTCAATTTCAACTAGATGGTCCCATCACGTCACAACTCCTTGAAGTTCTAAAAACACCGTTCTGTGTTCTTTTAGTCCTGAATCAGTACATAACAGCTGTCTAGCACTCTTTGGTCAAAGGTTATCCAAATTTTTGTACAATATTTCACGATTAACTAGGGGAAAATGGATAACCTCTCAGCTGCTTGCTATTCATTCTATTTATTTAAATGTAAATTATTGTAAAATATCAATAACCTGACACGGCTTGATCCACATCAAACATGTCTCACTTGATGAATGTATCTAACAGAATCAAAATTTTATTAATGAATAGCTTGAACATATGAAGAAAATTATGCTAACTTATTATATTTATTATATTATTATTCTCTTCGGTTCCGAGTGGAACATAAGGCTTCAACAACACATCTCGATTTTCTTATATTTCGTGCTGCCCTCTTCATTCGGGTCCATGATTGCCCATAATCTCTCATCTCCTCCTCATCACACAATCTCCTCCATGTCAACCTCACAACGAAGAGCCGCCACTTGTCACTTACTATTTGGATTCTATTCAAGCGATGGACTGAAGTGAGCACGATGTAACTTGACGGCCTCCTCGATTTATGGCCGACCCATCTCCATTTTCTCCCATATATGTGTTGAGCAATCGGCTCTTGTCTGGTTCACTGTTGCTAATTCTTCCTCGCCAGCCGGCTATTTGATCTTCAGTCTGGAGCCAGCGAAGCGGGCAGCTGCAGCTGGTAAAGTCTGCAAACTGCTGAAAATTCTTTTTGTGACTGACACGCACGCCAAGTTTGTGACCCATTTGTATTGAAAATCCGAATTTCGTTTTTTACGCTGAGTCCAGAAGATTTCCAAAACAGTTTCAGATTTGTGAAGGCGTATCTTGCCTTTCCAATTCTGGCTAGCTACCAAATCTCCCTCCGTTCCTGCTGCCTGTCGTTGAAACGATGCTTCCTAGATAAGTGAAGGAACTAACTTTTGTCCAGTCTCTCTCATTGATGGTGAATGGTGCTGATTGGTTAAATAAATTCGTCTTTTGAAAATTCCCTGTTTGAACTGAGTTACAACAGGATTCGGCAGCTTATGAGATTGATCACAAACCACACAACAGATGTCTAATACTGAAAATCGTTTCTGTGTGGTTAGTAAGCAGAAGTTTCCAGGTACTTATATCAAGCACTAGTATATTTCCCTTCTTGCTACTCCAACTAGTTGTGATACATGACTGCTGAAAATATATTTCATTAGGGTGCAAAAGCAAAATAAAAGTTCACCTGTAACTCCTTTCAACCAGTTTCAAGGGAACTCATAACAACACCAGTAATCGAGTCTAGGACATTCAGTTTACTAGACCTAGCCCGTTGACCATTCAGCAGACTGGGTTGGGAAACATTGACTTGGGAATTCTAACTTTTTCATCTTGTGATATAGGGCTGCCCTCACCAGTACCTTCTTTGAGCATCTACTTTACCTTGAAATAATGAACTCCAAAGGTCATAACAAAGCTATAATTCACAGATCACTGAATATCAGCTCAAATGGTTGAATGGTCTACGGGATCATTTCGTAACCTGAAAGTCCGAGGTCTGATCTCTTGGAAGGTTGTAGGTGTGCAATACTGAATAGAGCCAAAATAGAAAAGAACAGATATTCATTGCTCACCAGTGTTCCCTGTTCACTGTAACTGATGTTGTTTCCTGACGGAATTTTAACACTTGTTAAATCACATTTATGAAACAACATATAATCACGTGTCAGTTTGCAGGAACTTGATCAGTTACTCTATTGACCACGAGTTCACTTCATTTAGTGAGCTACTGGAGAATTAGGTAGAAGTGAATGCCTGTTTCGTCCTAGTTTTGGAATCTTTGGCAGTACGCACTCACTACCAGGGTTCGAGCCCAACACCTACCAGTTACAAGTACAGCTAGTAGACCATTCATCCCCTGGGATCCGATCAAACGGGCCATGAATCCAAACTTCTACCAGGTCATGATAACTACTATG